TGAAGAGGAGGATGAATCTAGTCAAGAAATCAGTCCATATGCATGGAAAATGGCTGCGAACCTTGTTAAAAAGGCTGTCCAGATACATCGAACAAGTGCTGATTTTTCTGACCATTAAATGCAAGCAGATAGAGCCCAAAACCCATTTTATTTGAGGCCCATGAGGTATGGACGAAATTCTGCAACCCTAAAGCATATTTTCACCTCCTCCACACCTATAAATAGGGGTCTCGGTTGAGAGAAAAGGGGAGGAGAATTTTCAGACGAAGAAACGTTGCAGAAAAGCTCTCAAGAACTCCCGAAAGGCTCTAAACGATTCCGAAGAAGATGAATAGATCAAGCCACGATTTTTGTTAAGAATATACGAATAATCCTTCGTGATTTCGTCGATTCTTAATAAAATAAATCCAAAAGTTGAAGAACGTTCGAAGATTCGAAGAACGAAGCTTGAAGGTTCGAAGATCTAAAGAACGAAGCTTGAAGATTCGAAGATCTGAAGAACAAGACTTTGAAGATTCGAAGATATGAACAACGATTCTTTGAAGATTTGAAGATACTCATATGAAGATTGAATTGAAATTCAATTGAAGATCAAGCCATATATCCCGGGAGGCCCTTAAACAATAGATCAAGCCATAAAACGGCCCTTTTGTTGAAGATCAAGCCACTTGAAAACCGGAGGCCCTTCAAGTTGAATTCTTAATTCAAGAAGATTTGAAGATCTGACAAACGAAGATTCGAAGATTCTAAGATCTCAAGAACGAAGATTTGAAGATCTGAAGAACGTTCGAATATTTGAAGAATTAAAGATTTAATTTTGAATTAATTCCTTTAATTATATTTATTTCAAATTGCAAGTGAAGAATCAGAGGATTCATATTTAGAGATTGTACCCAATATTCTCACATATTATTATTTGCGATCAATTTTAAGTACATACTTAAAATTTGTTTCACAAACGTTAATAGGGATATAATGCATTTTTGTTTTTTTACAAATATTTGTTTGAACCTTACTATATGTGAGCATCTTAACTGATCAGACTCATACAGATAGACATACTCAATTAGGATGGTGTGCCAAAATATAAATTAAAAAAGAAGCACAAAAGTGTAATAATTAACATAGATCAACACTCACATTTACTGAATATGTTCAATAAATAGTTATGTTGTTAAAGTAAGCAAGTCACTTGAGTATGGAATTATAAAAACATGCATAGTAAGCAAGTCACTCCCGAATATTTTGCAGCTATAAGACTTAAAGTAGTCCATTTGTATGTCAAAAGAAAATGAACAAAAATTGTGCTTAGCTTTTACAAGAGTATTTTTAAAATTCACATGTAAGTTGAATAGCAAGAAAAATTCTTCTTATGCTTAAAGGTCTTAGCATACAGTATGTTATAATCTTGTACTTCAAGGTAGGACAATGTTTGCAGAGAGGTTAAAGATTACCGTGCAAAACTCAAGCAAACAAAAAGAAAGAAATTCATCTTGCAAAACAACAAATGTTGACATATATTAAAACTCTATCAATTAAACTGAGGCAAAACCAGGACATTTCACATTTCCCTTGGCAGGAATCCCCTTTCAAAGAAGAAAATGATTCATTACAAACAAAAGACTGCCCTTGACCTTGTCAACCTGGCCTACACCGGCCAATCTCTATTTCAGCAAGGCATCGATGTTCCTCATAAAATATATAGAATTTGAAAAGCAGTTATTTTAACTTCCTATTCATCCATCTTCTCAAGCATCAATCATACATAATACATTTATGTTGTTTTCTGCCTATAATCTGACTGATACATGATCACTGATAGATAACTATGATTTTCGCAAGAATGTTGAGAAATAGTATAGTAACAAGACAAGTAAATGGTTCTACAAAAGAGATATCTGTTAAAGCATATTATATTCTTCAAAACAACCTGCTTGGCATTTTGAATTAAAAGCCCCTTGTACCAATACTATCTTTTTCTTTTGGATAAATGGAGGTATAACTAAAATGATGGCGCTGAAAAATGAGTTGATTGAGCAAATAAAAATTATCGACAATAGTGGACAAGTTCCTGATGTATTGGATTAGTGACCTCCATGTAGGGCAGAAACCAGGATAATTAGTGCAATTTGATGATAACCACAACTACAAATGTAGTGTAAAGATACAAGGTAGCCAAAGAATAAGAAGTCACATCTGCTAAAGTATTCTAAAGTATTCTAAAATTCTAACTGCGTTCGAAAATAATTGATAGGCCTCATTATGCAACCCCTTAAAATATAGCAACCTTAAGAATATAACATATAAAACTTTTAGTATGGCCCCATCCTGGCTACCCTTTCCCCCTAAAAAGAAAGTTTTGTATTAAGATATTAACAATGCTTATTTTTTTAGTGTTGGTGAGGAATGACTTCATCTATCACGAATCATGCTTATATGTGTTAGTGCAGACACAAGCAAAACAAAAAAGAAAAATAGTAAGATATCACAAACCAGTCAAACTTGTTTATGATATCACAAAATAGTAAGATATCACAAACAAGAGTATTGAGTTACTTCGTAATATTTACATAATAATCTTCTTAATTGACATCAATCATCACACACCAAAAGAGGCTAAACAAAATCAGTTTTTGTAGTCATATTTTGGGTTGTAAAACACACATCATATCCAAGTATTTTTAAAAATAATTAGGCTGCACGCGGGGTGTTGTCTGCTGCGGAGAGAAAGAAAAGAGGCTGCACGCGGACAGAATTATGGGAGAAGATGAGAGAGAAGTAAGTTAGAGATAAACAGAGTTGAGGCCGTAGAAGTTAGTCGTCTGATTAGGCATTGTAGTCTCCTGATTAATCGGCGGACCGACTTTGATGTCCGACATAGGGTTAATCGCCGCCGAACGCCTAGTCGGCGCCTAGTCGGCCGCCAAGGACGACTTTTAGATTAAAAAGTATTCCAAAAGATCAATCGCATGAGGAAGAAAAAATTACCGAAGATGATGCAATTGTTGAGCTGGAGCGGCTCAAGATACAAGGACTATCCCGATTCACAATGTAACATAGCTGCTGCAAATTACTCCTCTGTATATCTACCAAAATCTTAATTTGTGAAACCTACCTGAATTTGAGACATGAACAATCCATAACCCCAGCAAAAAATCTGGCTAGATGAATTGTGCACAAAACAAGAGACTACGGAAACTTGTGTTTCTGATTTGAGAAAATCAAGCTGCAAACAGTATAAACAAGGTAGCAATTAAAACGAGGTCAAATAACTAAATGAAAATGAACTAAAATCTCAGGTGTGGCAATGAAAGGAGTGAGGGAGACAAGAATATAAATTACAGCTAACAACATTTGAATCGAAGGGCATGAAGATAGGGTGAATCGGAAAGACCGAGCGAATCTAGCCGTTTGGATATCCATAGGAAGAGAACACTTCGTAGATAGCACACCGGCAATTGACGACAAGAGAAAAAAGAAGAAAGAAACCAGATGAATAAACCCGAAATCGTAGAATGGATGCCAACGTAGAGAAACTCAAAAATGATTGACTTAACGGTGAACTAACGGATACCAAAGAATATAAATTAGAATGTACAACCTCTTAATTAACGGTACAATTACATATTGCATTAATGATACACCAACACAATTTTTATACCTAAGTAACCCCTACCCTCATTCACCTTTATAAGATTGTAGAGATATATGCTTATTTGGTATTGAAGTTATGCTCATTTGTAAAATGTCATATCAATGCATATTTTAAAAGTATCATATCACATTAAATTCGCATATTGAAATTCATAGAAATTGTTTATACATATAATTTAATACTCCCTCCGCCCCGAATTAATCGTCTGGTTTTGACCTTCACACAGATTAAGGAAATGGAGTTGACTTCACACTGTAGCGACACTGTTTGGCACTGTAGCGACACTGTTTTGCGCTGTTTGACATTGTTTCGCATAGATTTGTTTACCAAATAAGGAAAGTTTCAAAGTAGGACAATTATTTCGGGACGGACCGAAAAGGAAAGCAGGACAATTATTTCGGGACGGAGGAAGTAAGTTTTATAAAAGAAAAAAAAATGAATTACAAAATATGAAGTGAAAATGGTGATGTTCATCGTTATGCTCCTAGTAAACAATAAAATATGTTTGATCCTCACTAAAAGTACACTAATGCTCATTTAGCAAAAACCGTGATTTTTTCTCTTAAATTACGAAAATGCCACCATCTCAAAAAGATGTACCTTTTGATTATGGGGTGTATTAGTTGATGGGCCTGCTGTTTCCTGAATTGGACCGGATTTTTTCTCTTGTCCCTTGCTATTTTGTTATTTCGTTTTTTCTTTCTTTCTTGTACTGTTTTTATTTGGGAAAACTGTCAAATAGGTCCTCGAACTTTCATAAAAAGGTCAATTAAGTCCTTCTATAGGAGGTTCTGTCCGGCCGTCGCTATTTGGGGCAGTTCCCGGTGGATATTTTTTATGAATTTATTTGAGCATCTTATTCACTAAGTTTAGTTTACTCATACCAAATTTCAGCTAAAAATTCAATTAGGAACTCATTCAAATTAATTCTTGAAGATAACTGCGCATTTTTACGTTCTCGAATTAATTTGAATGCGCTCCCGATTAAATTTTTAGCTGAAATTTGGTATGAGTAACTAGACTTGATGAATAAGATGGTCAAAAAATTTCATAAAAAAATTCCACCGGAAACCGCCCCAAATCGTGACGACCGGACATAGTCTCCTATAGAAGAACTTAATTGATTTTTTTATGAAAGTTCGATGACCTATTTGATAGTTTTCCTTTTTTATTTCCTTTCTCGTATTGTACTCGTTTTTTCTACAATTACATTTCTCTTTTTGTTCAAAAGGAAAAAATAATGTATTAAGAATGAGTTAGATGTGGAATGCATGAATTTAAAAATCCATGAAAATAAATGATAAATTCGAATTTAAATTTTAAAAATCTAAACTCTTAAAAACTACTTTAAACGTTACTCCGTAGAAGTTAGAACTCGTGAACTGCTCACAGGAATCGATGAAAGAGTGGTCGTATACGAATTCGTTTTTTCTGCTACGCTCCAACTCCGTATACGAGTGAATAACTGTCCACCCTCAGTTCATCGTCTCTTAGAAGTTGGCTGGCCAGCGGTGGGTTAAAACGAAGCTATCGCGCCATAAGTTGAGCGAGCCGTCAAGGTGGCCTTTTGGGTATGTTGGCGCGTGTGACGCAGAATTTTGCGGGAATATGTCAGATACTTCTTTGTCACCCCAATTTATCGGCTCCTTCTTTAAATTCCTTCACCCCCTTCCCATTCCATTCTATTCGTTACTCCTCTTGTTCTAGGAGCAGCAGATACAGATCTATCTCTTTCTCTCTCATGGCTTCCTCCTGTCGCAGCTCTCCTATCCACATCTGCCATTCCCGCATACCCGCTACTCATCAACCATCATTGGTTGTTTTTTCAGGCATGTTATGATCGTGTATTCATTTTTATGATTAATTTCTGATTCGTTTGAGATTGGGATCCCTGAATCACTCACTTTTCTGTTTAATTGTGATGGGATATGTGGGCAAAATATTAGAAAATTCCCTAATAGTAGTGTAGATTTACTCTTATTAGGTAACAACCTATAAGAAACCTTCTTTTAAGAAACTTCTTGTACTATAAGTATGTATCTGTCAGGGCAATCAAATTTAGATGATTAGTATTCTCAATTGGTATCAAATGATTAGCATTACCACTCCGCCACCCTCCATTCTCCTAATAGTAGTGTAGATTTACTTTTATAAGGAAACTTCCCTATAAGAAACCCTCTTGTAAGACACTTCTTCTACTACAAGTATATATCTGTCAGGGCAGTCCGGTTTAGCTGATTAGTATTCTCAAATGGTTTCAAGAGTTTATGTATTATACTTATTTAGGGCAATAATTTGTGTTATTGTTATCTTATACTCCGTATTTATTTATCATTATTTTATCCGTTTTATCTTACTTTTTTTCTCGCTTCTTGTCCGTCTTCTCTGTTTGGCATCGATATCATAGATCGATTCATGTTAGCCGACCCCGAATTCTTTTGGGATTAAGGCTTGGATGTTGTTGTTGTTGTTGAATATACACAAGTTGAACATCGAAGTGAAAGGAGAAGCTCTAGTTCAACCAATTGAAATGAAATTCGAAAGATGTATACTCGTTAATCGTTACTGGGTTATGTATGAAAGCTTAACTTGGCCTGTTAAATGGCTTGTGCTTCTTCTTCGATACAAATGCACTGCCTTTTCATTTCCATGCTGAGTTATGACAATCACTACATTGGGATCTGACAAGTTGTGAGCATACAGGTGGAACAGCTTTTAATTGTGTAGCTGAAGAGCTTAAGAAGTTAACTACTCGTGTCACTCACGTTCTCCCGGTATCTGATGATGGTGGAAGTACATCTGAAATTGTTCGAGTTCTTGGTTAGTTTCATATCATTGATCTTCTGAATCTTCTTTGTTGCTGGTCCTTATTCTCGTAGTTTACCCCAACCCTCAATTTTGTGACTGTAAATCATTGTATTAGTTTGAGAAGACTAATCAATTTAATTTCACTGATTTTAATATTATATGGGAGCATTCATTTCTGCAAACTCCTGATTTACTGAACCACTCTCATGCTAGGTAAGAATAATGCTGCCAAAGAAGTGACCAGTAGGAGTACTTAAGGGTTGTTCTGTTCATCTTATATCTTTCTCTTATTACTTGTTCTGATTTTAATCAATTCAGGCTTAACTAGATAAAAGGATTCGAATTATATTATTAGACCACATTATATGTTTCAGAATAAAAACTAGACCAAACACGAAACATTCTGATTAGACTAAAAAGATTCAGACGGCACCATAGCACTCCACACTCAAAAGTTCAGACTAGATAGACACAAAAGGTTTAGGTCAGACCAACTGACCAAACCAGGGTAGAAAATTCGGATCATGTCACAATGTCAGGGCGAAGAGAACAGGTCCTTAGTTGGCAAATTAAATGTTACTTTGTACATATGAGACTTCTTATCTAGGTTGGTTACCCTATGGACCAATGCACCTCATGTACTAAGTCATTTTCTCCCTCTCTCTGTTTCTCTTTATGTTGTGTGCTTTTCTTTTCCTTCAGTTGACATATAGCAAGTTTGTTTTATGAGTATCCTGCAGGTGGTCCTGCAGTTGGGGACATACGGTCAAGATGCTTGAGATTGTCTGATCAAAGCACTTCTGAGGCTCTTGCTGTAAGAACATTGCTTGGTCATCGACTACCTCTTGATGCACAAAAGTCAAAGTTAGAGTGGTAGTGAAACCATATTCTTGAGTAATGCCTTTTTTCTAGTCTGCCGGTCCACTTTGGTGTGCTCCAAGTTTGTTTAAACTCATGTGTATAGCTACCCTTTCTGGGATTTTTTGTGTTTACACTGCATTGTTAAGATCATTTACATTGTGATAATGTTTATATGGTGAAAAGGTATGCTATTGTGGAAGGGAACCATGGTCTTTGGAAAGGCGTGTCAAAACCTTACGGCGAAACGATACGAGCTTTCTTGGCTTACTTTCAAAATCAGGTTTATTGTTCTCCTATCAACCTTATCTCTCAGTTATAGCTATAATTAAGCTTTGTTTCTGAAGTCCATCCAATTGGATAGTCTCACCAAAATTGTTTTTCTTCATCTGATTGGCATTGATAAGTTATGCCCCGTAGTTTACTTCCGATTTTTTTGTCATACACGATGCGTTCATGGTTAGTTTGTCCACTGAACTTCTATGCTACACTAATTTATATTTTTTTTATCAAACTTATCTCCAATTTACCTGTCGTGTTTACTAATTATGTCTCAAACATGGTTTTCCATGTTCACTTTTTTCCCATGTGCATTTAGTCAAACTCTCTATGTAGTTTCATAAATGTACTTCATTTTACTAATGCTAAGATAAATAATCTGTAATACATAAAGTTAAATTATACGTAGTACGTAACTTGAGTTTTGTTGAAGACACCAAACACATAAGATGGGATGGAGTAAATACTAGATAATGACATGTCAGAGTTCATTAGAATTAATATACTCTTATACTTTTTGATACTCTAGTTTTTCCCCTTTCTTTTTTCTCTTGCTTTTATTCTTTGAAAACATAATCTTAAATTGGCTTCAGAGCCATTTACAAGATTACCGCATTTACCATGTGTTCTCAAGATGTGTTAAATGTGCAATGAGCCTTCATTGTTATAATGCTTTTGTATTGGAGTCAGACTTATAATCTAATATCCACCAATTTTATGTGCATTAGCTTTCACAGTTCGCTTATATTTTCTTATTCAGAAGACACCTTGAGAAGTTCATGAATTGATATATTTGAGTCATTATGGACTTTTTGAATGCAGATTCTTAGACGTTCAGAAGATGCATTTTGTTTTAGTAATGGAAGGTATTCTGATCTAGCCTCTATGACTACATTACAAATATGATATTGTAGAGTTGGATAATCTGACTCTCATTTTGTTATAGAGAACGAGTAAAATGTACATGTTGAACTCATCCAAAAATAATACACGATCAACGGGGCAAACCCCTGTCCAAAACAATCAAAGCAAGTAAAACCTAAACCTATCCATACCCTATCACGGTGCGAGGTAGGGGAGAGTTTTGCAGTGGCACGGAACAGGCCTCCGGCTCACCAACACATAAAAACACAATCACAAAAGTCAAACAAAAAGGCTGTTGGCCTAAGAGCTAACAAAAGCCCCAGGCCCAACTCATTTGTTATAGAGAAGATTTCATTTGGTGAGGTTATTAGTCTATTACCTCATTTGTCATTTGTGATTTCAAATGTTCAATTGGTTGACATACAAGCATGGATCTTGTGATCTACATGCTTCTTCATGAACGTGACATATAAGCATACACTTGGCACATTTTTGAGCAAGAAATAAAAGTTTTATTAAACTTTAGAAGAAAGTACAATCGCTAATGAAAGTAGAAATTCAAAGAAATCACATAAAGTTATTGAAAAAATACGCTAATTAAAAAAAACTAAACGATCCACAACCGAATACGAAGCCCCCTCTCGCCAAAGATAGAAACCAACTGCCACGGTCTTCAATAATACCAAAGATACCGATCAAAATCACACATCCACAAACAAACATAATCATAGCTAAACATCCGTATGAAAAAGCAATCACATAAAATTTGAGGTAAATCTAAGGGAAATATCCCGGGTTAGATTTTTTCCCCTAACAGATTAGAGTGGTGGTTGGACTGGGTTCTACTTGCTCTGGTCAACAGAAACGAATTCACATTGAAAGTTAAACTTTTCATTTTGAGATTAAATTTGTAATGCTAAAAATTAGTCAAATCAAAGAGGATCATAATGTTTCTATTCTTCTTGATAATGATGGTGTTAACTGGTTTTATGATGCTTTCTGTCATCTACAATCGGGGAATGATCGAAAAATTACTAGGTACGAAACTTCTAGAAAATTAACTCTTTCTTTCGAGGAAAATATGTATGGGGGATTTATTCGTTTGGTGGTAATCGACAATGAGGGTACTTCTACTTTTATTATACCGGAAGTTAGGAAAAGACTTAGTTTTTGCCTCTTTGCTCTACTTTATCAAGTCAATTTGATCTTTTAAAGGAGGTTAAGAAAAGCACATCGGAAAATGTTTTGGGGATCAAGGAGTTGTTTGTTCTAACTTAACGATCGAGGTTTGTGAGACTGTGGAGTCTATCTGGAGTCAATCTCCTTCTGACTCTTTCAAGAGGACTTATTGCTAAATCGTCATCTTTCTTCTACTATTGATTTTATCTCTCCTCCTGAGACCGGAAACGATAATAGGGATATGTCCTTTTGACCGAGAGCTGTTATGATGGTATGACTAGGGCAACAAGGGAAGACGAGAGTAATGTGGAGGAAGTCACGCAAGTAACACCGATTCAAGTCTTTTTTCCCGAGCAAAGTCAACAAAAAGCAATTAAGGGTAGTTCTTCCAATTGGATATTGATGATGTTTGATGTTTCAGATGAGCAGTCCTCCGGATATGATTCAGATCAGGAGCTGCTGACTCAGCTAAGTGGTCCTAACTACAAGACGGCTACTCAACTTGAGCTTAGACAAAGTGCCCGAGTTCAAGCTAAAAACGAGATCAAGGGTTAGTTTTAGAGAAAACTACCCTAGGTATGACTAAAACTCATTCACTTTCCCAATCAATGACCTCATTAGTTTTTTTCCCAATCGATTTGTCCATAGTGTAGCGTAGTAGAGTTCGTATCCACAAGAATATGTGCTTTTCGCGTGTGTGTAAGCGTAAGAAATCAAAGCAAACGAAGGGAGGGGTTGGGTACTAGTATTATTGAAATAGTAAAAACACTAAGATGAATGAATTAAAATAACAAGGGTAATGTGTCTTGGTTTTGTTAATTTCCATTTAGTGAAGTGCTTGTTGATAAGTGTTACCGCTTTAACTATGCCCTCTTGAATACTTAATCATTAACTATGCCCTCTTGAATACTTAATCGTAGAGTATTTCTAATTTCTCTAGAATAGTTATTAATAACAATATGCATTCCTTAATAACCCTTACTATTTAGTCAACATAGAATAAACGTCTTATATTGACTCGATAGTAAGAATTCTTCGGTAGATGAAATCAACTAAGATTGACAACCTCAACACAAACTTTTTTTAATTTAATCAATATAATTAATTGCTCTTTATATAATTAACCATGAGATGCATGCGTTACTAATCTAAAATTACTACTTATGAATTGATCAAGTGAATAACATGCCTATGAAAACAATTTGGAAACATTAACTAATTGATCACTTAGCAACACTTCAATATCAATATGAATTATGAAATATACTCCCTCCGTCCCGAATTGAATTGCAAACTTTGACTGGCTCAAGGATTAAGAAATGACAATAAATGATGCTTGCTTTTTACACTTTTGCCCATCTTTCTAAAAGTAGATGCCTTTAAGTTAATGGGCAAAAAGTAAAAATAAGGGTAAATTTGTCACTTTATTCTTATTTACATACCTAAAATAGAAAGTGGAAAACCATTTTGGGACAACCAAAAAAGGAAATTTTGCAAATCAAATTGGGACGGAGGGAGTAATTAAGAATTTAATTAATATTCGAGAGAGGATGATTAAAGAAATAACTCATAACTTACAAATCATTAGCTTCAATATAGCAAAACTAAGTTCAAAAGACTATCTAAGGATAAGGAGGGATTAATGGATCTATAAAATTGAAAGGAAAGATGTATTTTGTAGGATAAATGAGGTGGTTGGGTCAAATACCCAACCAAGTATCCGTGACATTAGCTATGGAAGTGCTGAAATCTAATCATACCCGATCGAGTATGTCAATATACCTGACCGGGTATATGAACAAATCTAATTTCCCCATGTTCTTTTGTTTTGTTTGATCTTATACGATCTTGGGGTCGAATTATACCTGATCTGGTATTGGATACAACCGACCAGTTCTGATACCAAGTTGTACTTTTCTTCTTTCTTTGTCTCCCATGAAGTTTCTTTTTGTCTTCAAGTTCCTTCCTTATGCTCCAAGCGATTTCCTCTTGCTTTTCCATCATGTTTCTTACTTACATGTCAAAATCTTCTAATATCTTCTAATTCTAGTCTTATTTAGAAGATAAAGATTACACGTATATGTACTAAAGTTGAGTAAACACAACGTACAACAATTCTAAAATGTGGTGTTTATACACTGCACTGTTAAATAACACATACCATGGTCCACTCATCCACTTATACACTATACTAGTAATGCTTTTATATAGTTACTAAGTTACTTCTTTATGTGCTTTTCCTCTTTGATGTTGTTGATAGATACTTGTAATTCTGCAACTCATTTCTCTTAAGCTATCAACAGTTTAAGAGCTCGTTTGGTAATACTGAAATTCACAGAATTTGCCAAATTTTATGAGGTTCCGGCTGAAGCAGCTAAATTGGTCGGTTTTGCTGAATTTTGAAGATTATGAAGAAGTTATATTTAAAATTCATTTTATTAATAAAGTAATGAACAAATTATATGAAAACAACTACAATGATCATCTACCATAAATTCAGTCAATTCAGTCAGAAAAGTATCTTCATTCTTACATATTTTGATTATTGCACGATTCAATGCGTAAAATCATAAGTTACATGTTTAATGGATAAGGCTAATAAGCTGAAATAGGGGTTACCAAACGGGCCCTAAATTTCCCCTGTCAAGCTTAGTGGACATGTTGTATATAATGTGTTTTGACTGTAACAATGTTGTCACTGTCTGGAACTTTCTTTTGTACTTTCTAATTGGCTTGTTAAAACCCGGTTACTCTTGTAGCATTGGGAATTTTTTCTTTGCAGGAGCAAGGACATTTTTTCAGTCTCTAGATGCCGCAATCTTTCTGTTTTCACGCGTTTCTGATATTCCAATAGAGAGTCTGGTTCTTCCAGTGATATCCACGAATGAGAGGCTTACTTTAGGCTGTGAATTATGGGTATGATTTTTCTCCCATAGTTATCTACCTTCCATGCCCCCAGTAGTTATCTTCTGATTAGTAATGCGTCTTTTCATTCCAATCATTTACTTTTAAGGAAAAATTGATTATAATAATCCCAACTATTGGCGGTCCGCTTATAATAATCCCAACTATCGATTATTTCAGAATAATCCCAACTTTAGGGACCTTCCGCCAATAATAGTCCCTGTAAATAAGTTTATGTACTTAATTTTTAAACTTATAGAAGGTAATATTTGGTCATGGACCATTATTGGCGGACGGTCCATATAGTTGGGATTATACAAAAATAATCAATAGTTGGGATTATTGTTAGCGGACCGGCAATAGTTGGGATTATTATTTTCAATTTTTCCTAATTTTAAATATGAGCACCATTTATTTTGAGCAAGCATATCTGTGTATGAATTTGGGTAGAGTTATTTTTTTAAAATAATTTTGTTTTCATTGCTATCCTTTTACTCTCTTCTCAATTCGGTAAATACCCTTTAAATCCTTGCAATTTGATCCCTTACCTATTTACATTTTAATTTCAATTTTGCCCTATTTTAGTTATTCTTTGCAAATCTTTGTTTAAAGTATAGTTGTGCACAACATGTGGTTGTGGAACATTATAATTGCATTATTGCAATAGTGTCCTCACTCAGACATAAGTACATAATGATAAGGTACCTGGCGAGATCTGAGTATTCACAGTAAAACAACAAGTACAGATCTGATCTATTGATAGAGAAATAGGGTTTATTGATAGGAATAGACTCAACGTAGGCAACAGGCAACAGGACTTCGGCAACAAGGCAACCGATAATCAAAATAACATTCTACCCCAATTAGCTATTCCCCCCTTCTATTTATAGCTATTATCCACAGGGATATGCCAGATATTACTAATACCCCCCTCCCTTCTATTAATACTACTACAAGTACCTTTACTATTACTATTATTACTATTATTATTATTTCTTATTAATAGCCTACTAAACCCAGATTCCTATCAATACTCCCCCCTAAACAACCATCTTGTCCTCAAGGTTGGTGATAGGAATCAGCCATGATCTTCCACTTGCACTTCATTCTTGCACCTCTCCCTTCCCAATACTTGACTGGTTGATGGACTAGGGACTTCAATACTAGATCTTTTAAAATCATAGACCTTTCAGTGGCAGAAGAGATCTTTAGTGAAGTTTCATCCACTTCAGTAACTTTCAAACATTCAATAGCAGCAAATGTTTCTGTACTTTTCTGCAGCTCCTCATCGTTTCTCTCTTCTGAAACTAATACTGCACTGGATGCAAATTTCTCTCTGTACCTTTCAACTTCTTCCTCTTTCCAGTCTTTTCCTATCATGTAAAGTTTCCAAAATGTTTTTTGTTGCTGGTAAGCCTTCCCTTCACCAGAAAGAGAACTGGCCATTTTCCAGCCTTGCTTCCCATTTATCTTTTCCCTGATTTGAACGTATTTCTCTACAGAACAGTTCTCTTCTGGATCATTGGAACATAAGACCATTTTGTAAGGTTGAGATTTTGCTTCAGCTTCCAGTCCGTTAACAGCAGCCTGAATAGTAGGGTCCGAATCCACACTTATTCTACACATCAGGTAGTCTGAAATAGGTCTAAAAACACCGCCATGATTCTTAAAATAGATAGCAGCATCCAACTCCTTTATTGCGTGAAATTTTCTTTCAACATGGCAAAGATCGAATCCATCATCCCCTCTTAGCCCAGAATCCGAGGAGTCCCAATTTGCCGAAAGTACCAAATGGCAGCCCATTATTGCCATCCCTGCCTTGACCTCTGAGTGATTGAAAACTGATTTTTTGATTGCACTACTACGTAGTTCCTTCATAACACCTTGCTTTGGTAAACACCCTGGAATAATAATAAAACTCCTTCACCCATAAGAGTTTGATCGTGATCTTCAGCATCAACAACACACTTCCCCATCCATCTGCTACTAGTAAGTGTGTCACTCAAATCCCAATCCTCACGTCTTTTCCTGAGTATCTTGAGTTGATGAGCAGCAATTTCCGTATGAAACCTGTAGTCAAAACATACCCCTCTATTCTGCACAGGGACACAAACTGCTGGCATTCCCCTCACATCTTCACCAATGATTATGGCCTCCAGGAAGCTTCCATGACTGAGATCATCGACACCCTTTTTTCCCTTCCATATCTCTTTTATGGAGTACCTGGATCCCGTTACCAGCAATAGTCATCTGAGTTGGGTAATGAAAACCTATTGTTCCCTCTGGAACAGATAGACAAACTGCACAGGCAGACCCCTAACCTCTTCCCCAGAGATAATGGCGTATGGGAAGAGATTAAGATTGAGATCTTTGACAAGCAACAGATTCACGTCAGCCTCAACTTCAGTAACATATCCAACATACTCCTTAAAATTCCTAGTAATTCCTCCCTTCAAGCTATTTTGATTATACATCATCGAAGTAAAGCCATTAAGTATGAAGTTATCGAAATTGTTCAGCGTTTTCCCAGTAATATGTGAAGAAGGGAAGTACATCATATCCATTAAAACCTCCAATCCAAGTCCATGAACTATATAAATGAAGGATTTAAGATCTTCTAGGTTTAAGTCCAGTGCACTAGAATACCTCATATCATCATAAGTAAGGATATCTGATTTACGCACATCGGGACCTTCCCTATTGTCGGCTGAAAATCCCGTAGGTTGATTAGCATCCTCTTCAGGGTCTGATTCTGTAACAGTTGCTGCAACCAGCTTCAATTCTGTGTTCATTGTCGTTGGTGTAATCCCCTGCGATTCCTTCCCTGATAAGACCAAGTCGAAGGTTCTGGAAGTGGATGAATCTGGCGCAAGGTGAGAAACTACAAGCAAAGACGAATATGGATGAGTTGTTAGTGACTGCGAACTGGAGAAGATGCTAGCGTATGTGTCAGTTTGCCGCAAATCTGATGGATTAGGAGAAGTTGCTTGCAGAAACCCTTGCGAACTGGAATGATATGTGAGCGTCGAACTCTGCGACCTTTGAGAATCTGTACGCGACTGAGACGCCATCTGAGAACTGGAAGCTACTGTTCGTGTTCGCGACTGAGAACTGTGAGACGAAGTTTGCGTTTGCGAACAGTGAGATGAAGTTCGCGTTTGCGAACAGTGAGATGAAGTTGGCGTTTGCGAACAATGAGATGAAGTTCGCGTTTTCGAACAATGAGATGAATTTGTAGACACTGTACGCATCTGCGACTGCAAATACTTCTGCGGACTACTGTGAGGAACGACTTGCGATGATGAACCGTGAGAAACAGTTCGCGACAAAGAGTGCGAACTAGAAGGGGTTGTTGGCGACCATGATCGTCTTCTAGTCTGGCTGTGTTTGTTCATCACTGCGATATTATCAGCCATCGTTTTCAAGTCGGTAAGGATCCTCTCCAGCGAATCCATCCTCTTTTCCATTTCTGGTGTACAGGATTCTTCCATTTCTCCAGGTAGTTAATATTCTCGATCGATTCAGATGATAAGTCGGCACTTCAATTTGATCTTAGGAGAACTTCTCTGATACCATTGATAAGGTACCTGGCGAGATCTGAGTATTCACAGTAAAACAACAAGTACAGATCTGATATATTGATAGAGAAATAGGGTTTATTGATAGGAATAGACTCAATGTAGGCAACAGGCAACGGGACATAGGCAACAAGACAACCGATAATCAAAATAACAGTCTACTCCAATTAGCTATTCCCCCCTTCTATTTATAGCGCTATTATCCACAGGGATATGCCAGATATTACTAATACCCCCCTCCCTTCTATTAATACTACTACAAGTACCTTTACTACTATTATTATTATTATTATTTCTTATTAATAGCCTACTAAACCCAGATTCCTATCACATAACTACTTGAGCGGAGGCAAAAAACATCAGATCCTAATTGGCAATAGAACAGTAGAACACCCTGGAATGCCTTATTTTCATCTTCCACCATCTGTAGCCTATTGAGTGGGCCATGAGTTATAGTTTTGTTTGATGACAGATTGGAGGATCATTCCGTGAGAAAAACCTGCAGTGCCCTGTTAGAACCCTCCAGCAAGTAGTAGAAATTAGTATTTTATTGATAAAGTTTTCAGGACCTTAACCTGATAACAATGGCTGCAACGGAAAGAAAGAGAAGAAAACAGATCGAGACAGTTCGAGTCGTCTCAACACTCCCAAGGCCTAATTCCAGATCCAAATTCTGCCTACCCTCTTATTCTACTGCACTCCTATTTATAATAAAATTCCCTTATGGGCCGGCCCAAGCTAACTAGTAGTACTTAGCCCAAAACCCTTATTTATACAATATCATACTCCTTAGTATAATTCTACTACTATTATTATTATTATTGGAGGTCCATGTCCCTATCATATCTCCCCCTTGAACAACCGCCTTGTCCTCAAGGTGGGTAATAGGAAATAACCTTGATCTTCAAATTCATCTTCATCCTGGTGCCTCTTCCTTCCCAGTACCTCCCAAGTTTTTGGACCTTTAGCTCTAGTACTTGAAGCTGCATCTTCATGTTCTTCTCTGCAAGGAGCAATAACAAGGTCCTGGAGGCAGAATGCTTTCTTATGTTGCAAAAGTTTGAATCTTCCAGCATCTGTGTTTCCTGTTGTATCCTTTGCCTTTGTTCCAACATCTTTTCAAGAGAATTGACCTCACTTTGCTCAAGACCTTGAACAAGTTCAAAAACATCTGATCTCTCCAAGGTATATCTTTTCACAAGTAGATACTGATCTCTAAGTCTCTCAGCCATGAGTTTGATTCTTTCAGAACATATTGGGGATAAGGCACAACCTACTTCCTCACAAAAAACAACATTTATTTGCTTATGAGCATCTTCATCTCTAAAGGGATCACAGAGAAAACCAGCTTTAACCTTTTCAAGGACACCCATCCGAGCTTCAGCTGTTCTATCAGTAGACATCTTTAGGACTTCCAGAAATACTGGTTGAAAA